TCCTCTGTGCATGGGGGGCAGCTAGCCCCTGTGCCATTAGGGAGTCCCCAGCTGCGTCACTCCCTGGGTTGACCATGCTGGTCGGCTCGGGGGGGGGGGCATGGCTAAATAAATAAATAAATACTGCAGTACACGTACGGGACGTTGATGCTGCAGCAATGGTGGTGGCAGAGGGGCGGCTGCTGCCTTGACCCAGTGCCACATTTATGTATAGGCTAAGTAGGCAGAGTGCCTAGTATCTGCTGGGCAGACCAAAGCACTCGTCAGGAGAGCTATGAGATTCAGGTGAGGGTCAGGTGCCTTGTCAATCCCAGCAGGTATATAACAGGAAGACCCGGCCTGCCCATCATTGCATATTAAGAGTTTAAGTCTTTGCAACTGTTGAATCAGTTTCAGAATCAACAGGAAAAGCTTCCGCAGACATTTTCTTTTTTAAAAATGTTGAAATTCAAAATTTATAGTAACTAATATGGAGTTAGATCGCCTGCTGAGCTTTTGACATCACTGGTACTTGCACTGAGCAAAGGTGAAAATCTGTTCAATCCTTTAATTTTTTTGAATTCACTTGTTAGAAACTCAGGTTTAGGATCCCCTCTGCTTTTTTCCACTGAACATATTGGGGTTTTTTTTGCATGAACAGATTGCAAGGAGGAGGAATTGAATGGCATATTCTGATATACTCTCTGTTTCAGAACATCCTTCCAGTTGTCAGCATCTGCACCCTCTAGAAGTATGGTTTCAATTTTACTTTTGAAATCCAAGTCAAGCATTGTTGCCAACACATATATTTCCCTGTCAAAACATTTCACTTATTCCTCGGTCTGCAGACAGCTTTTGGGTTACATCTTTCCCTTGGTTTTATTGAAACAGGATCTTCATTCCTTTTGAAATCATTTTTCATTAGCGTGGAAGCAGAAGTAGATTCTATACCTGATAAGTGGCAGCACCTGGTTTATAGATGTGCTATCAGTTCTTGTTTTCTGTGTGATCATTTCTGATAATTAGACGATGAAAAAACCAAAGTAGCAGTCACATTCAAATCATGGTAGGAGAATATGCAACCTCCTCCCTTCATCTTCCCTCACACACTGCCTACATATATATACATAACAGCTGTTTGATGCCCTGGGGCATAGAGAGGGGTGGAATACAGAGTAAGTTGACATCATAACACACATTTTCAGCAAGAGAGGTTTTCTGCATTATCTGATCATCATGAAACATGAAATGACTTGCGGCATGGGTTGCCAACATCCTTGGGCCCATGGGCACATTTGCAGTCTGGAGAAAATATTATGGACACCACATGCACTCTAAATTTTGTCGTGCAGTTCTCACGTGAAGTATACAAAAATGCATACACTGGGATAGGGTGTGCATAAAAATGCATATAATGGTGAAAGCAACATACCAAAATGCATTCAACTTGGGGGAAATTACCGTGTTTAAAAAATTCACAAATTGGTGTGAAAATGTGGAGAACTGAACTTAAGATTGCAAAAGGGAGAAACGGAAACTGTCAGATTTGCCTATCTTTAGCAACAAGTAATACATATGGTAGGGACGCGGGTGGTGCTGTGGGTTAAACCACAGAGCCTAGGACTTGCCAATCAGAAGGTCGGTGGTTCGATTCCCCGTGACAGGGTGAGCTCCCGTTGTTCGGTCCCTGCTCCTGCCAACCTAGCAGTTTGAAAGCACGCAGTGCAAGTAGATAAACAGATACCACTCCGACAGGAAGGTAAACAACGTTTCCGTGCACTGCTCTGGTTCGCCAGAAGCGGCTTAGTCATACTGGCCACATGACCTGGAAGCTGTACGCCGGCTCCCTCGGCCAATAAAGTGAGATGAGCGCCGCAACCCCAGAGTCGGCCACGACTGGACCTAATGGTCAGGGGTCCCTTTACCTTTAATACATCTGGTCTCCTACCACACCTGTAGATATATATATCTATTGAAAGGTCTCCTGCTATCCCACTCAAAGGGGACAAACTTTTATGGCCTTTTTGTAAAATCAGCTAATATGAGGATCCTATGATAATAATAATGATAACAATTAATAAACACTAGTGTGTATGGAAGTGGAGGGGGAAAGCAACGAGGTTGTTAAAATGCAACAAAGAACAGAATTGAAATATAATAAAATGTCATTTCTGCGAATCAATCATTCGCATCTGGAATACTTCTTTCAGCACTGGTAACCTCATCTCAAAAAAGGATATTGCAGAATTGAAGAGGTTTCAAACAAGGCCAATAAGAAAGATCAAGGAGATATTGAAACTCTCAAACAAATAGAAATTGGAAAATTGGAATTGTTTATCTTGAAAGAGAGACAAATAAGACAGGACAAAATATGATCATATAAAATATCGAATAGTATTTAGAAGGCATCTCAAGATTATAGTTATTTATACTGCATAGCTCAAGAATAGGGGGACAATAAATGAAACTGATAGCAATACATTTGAGACTGATAGAAGTACATGAAATGAGGGTCTCTGCCAAAATATGTAATTAGGGACATTTCTGCTGAATATTATTACCCAGCTGAAACAAAGGGCATATTTAGCTTGGACCATAGGAGCCAAATCCTAGGTGTCGTGGTCCCTTTGCCCCCCCCCCAATAAAATATTTGAAGGGGTCAGGTCTCCCCAAGTTTGATGGGCATTGCCATTCAAATGGTGTGCATGCACTGTATCTTGGCTTGGACTATTTCCCCATATTTTCTCACAGAACCAAGCCTTTTTAGGATTCACAGTTTTCATGCATACCTTCCTTTAGGGGTGCTTTAATGGCTCCAGTCCTCTGGGAAAGGCATACCATGTTGTGAGCATTAGCCACAACACAGGGCAAGTGGTGACATGTTAACTTCCCCCTCTCTCAGCTGGCTTCCAGAAGACGCTGCTCCAATTGCTTTGATACGCCCCCCCCCCCCCCCGGTAGAAGCTATTACAATAAACTGTAACAGAGAAAGGAAGAGAATGGATTCACAGGGGCAACCATCCACTATGCTAAGAAGTCAGGCTTCTCCCTCTCTCTACTGTCATTGGCAGCAGTCATTGCATCCGGCTACAATAGAGGGATGGAGGAGGGATGCAGGGTCACTCCATTGGAACAACTGAGAGACCTCCTCTTCTTGAACTTTTCCACCCCAGGCGGCGATTGCAACAATTCTCAAAAACATGAACATTTCCTCTTCCCTCCCAATCAGTTTTCCTTTTGTGTCATTTCCCCCCTCTGTAAGCCTGAGGGCAGAGACTGTCTTTTTTTAGTGATATGTATGCTGCTCTTAGAGCCTTTTATTTTGGCTGAAGAGCAAGATTTTTAAAATCTCTAAAGGCGACTTTTGTTATCCCTGTTTTTATAGGGAATAAAGACCCTTTGGGCTGACTGCATCAACAATATATCCTATGAATGTACTATAACTATGTGTTACCTTTCTTTCCTCTTTCAACACACAGAAAATAAAATGTGGAGACAACTCAAAAGCACCCGAAGATAAGAAATGGCACATTCCAAGATTGAGAACGCTAATAATCAAGAAATGGATGGGTAGTTGATTTGATTTGATTTGATTTGATTTCAATTGGATGACACATATCCAAGTTTGCATCATAAATGCACATACATATTTTTTGCAATTTATACTGTAAAACAATTTTCTGAATGTATTTCTTCTTTCTTTCTTTTTTGTAGAACTCAAGGAGAGATTTTGGTCAGCCTGAGAAAACAGCTGATTGCCTGCAGATCATGCTGAGAATGTAACCTGGAGTTTAACATGTGTACAGTACACTGATATATTGTATATTTAAGGAAAAACACTTGTTTTTTGTACAAATCCCCAAACGGACTCCTGCCCTTGAGTTGGAAATGTGCCAGACCTATGCTTTTTGTTAAAGAGCAGCAATATAAAATGTATCCATTTTTAAGGCCAACTGGCATGCAATATTTACCAAAATCTGAACCACATGTTTGCAAAAGTTTAAATCGTAGAAGGTGGCTCACATCTGGAAGCATCCATTTCTCAGAGGACGGCTTTGGTAAATATATATGAAATGCACTGTCTCTGAACCCTGAGTTGTACGGGCAGGAATAATGCAGTCCTCCATACTCTCCACACTGATGTAATCAAGTGCTCTGACACACCATTCATAGGCTTTCCCACTTCTTTGGGGATAATAGCTAGGGCCAGTTCACAGATGCACATTCATCTAGTGAAGATTTGGATGTGCTCCTGGGCATGGTTGGCCAATTGGTGCCAAAGAAGGATAGAACTTTTTTTATGTATGCAACAACAGCAGCAAGAATACTTATCGCGAAGTATTGGAAGACACAAGATTTACCCACCCGGGAAGAATGGCAGGTGAAGTTGATGGACTATATGGAATTGGCAGAAATGACTGGCAGAATCCGAGACTGGAAAAAGTCTAAAGACTATTTACAGAAACACTGTAAAATTAATGAATGTTAGAAAAATGTTGGAATGAAATTATATGGCTTTAGTAGAAATGTTATAAGGAATTAAGTATAAATAGATTAATAGAGTATTAAAGGAAAAAATAAGGTTAGAATGTGTTAAGATAATTATAGGATAGAAAACAGAGGAAGATGGAAAGGAATTGCTGAAATAATTAATAGAAGTGGAATACAAAAAGGGAGGTGGGAGGAGGTCGTGGAAATAAGTGAATGGAAGATAAGATATTGAAATTGTTTGATTTATTTTAAACTGTTTTTGTTTTGTTTTGTTAGTTTAATGTATTTAATGTGTTTTATGTGTCAATGTTATATAGTGTTTTTCTATTGTGTTGTATTGTATTGTATTGTTTTGTTTTTGTAGTGTTTAAATTATTAGAAAAGTAATAAATATTAATTTACTAAGATTTGGATGTGCAAAGGAGCTAGAGATTGGACAGAGAAAACTCTGAAATCACCTCCTTTCACCTCAAACACAGTGCCTTTTGGTGGTTTGGGGTTTACATATTCTGCTGAGAGTTACCTAGAAGTCAAATAATCAATATGTACAGAGTCTGCAGTTGGCAGACAGACATGCTGCTCATTTTCACTTTAGACACCTGCAGGATAGCCACGATGATTGCAAAGAGCCCAATGGCACTGCCAAAGATTTCCACAATGAGGATCTTGACAAAGAGGCTGGCATTCTGGGCATCTGCCAATGCTGCGCCACTGCCCACAATGCCCACACATATACAACAATGTCCATGCCCAAACATGGAGTAGCCTGCATGGTAGTTCCGGGAGCCAATCTCCTTAGGAGTTCTACCAGAAAATTCCTCAGCCATGTTGGTGATGACAATGGCTATGATAATCCCATAGACAACCACAGCTTCACAAAAGATGATGCTAACCAGATTTTTTGTTTTGATCCTAGGTGCTTTGACACCACTGCCGAGGATGCTGGATCTGGTAATATTAATGCCCCAGGCAGCACCCACCACTGACAGTGAGATGGCCAGCCCCCTCCCTGCTCAGGATGGACCACAAGTACTGTGAGGTCTCCATCAGGAACCATGCTACATCGAAACGGAAGTCAAGGTCAAATATTGTGTAGCAGATTCTGATGCCAGTGTTGGAGCAGCCGTGGTCAGCCCCAGCCCTGAATACAGCAGTGAGAGCCCAGCAGCTGGAGAAACAGCAGACATGCACACCTAAGGAGGGATTGACAAATAAGGTTTCTCTCAATTTATGCATTATTTTTATTGTTGACTCTTGTACATTGCATTGGTGGCTTTCAGGAAAGCAGTGATACACACACACACGTTAGAATAAATATTTTTTCCTAGAAAGTGCAAAGTCAAACTTTTTATAAATGGCATTTACTTCCAGTTAGAAAAGCTCTGCACAAGGCGTGATAGTTTGGGCTGTGGGAGTGCATTCCTTTCTCATAAAGTTTGTGATGGGTTAGTGGAATTCCCACAGCCCGAATTGTTACCCTTTGTGCATAGCTTTTCTAGCTTTGTCCTGCAAGTAAATGTCTCTCTCATATATTCTCTCTCTCTCTCTCTCTCTCTCTCTCTCTCTCTCACACACACACACACACACACACACAAATATGCCCTTTCCAGGAAAAAAATATTCCTCCCAACATGCATAGGCCACTTTCCCACCACAAGGCCCCCAAAACAGGTATGGTCATGCATTGGCATTTAAGCCAAACTATTATATTTCTGTGCGCTGCTCTGGTTCGCCAAAAGTACGCTGGCTCCCTCAGCCAATAAAGTGAGATGAGCGCTGCAACCCCAGAGTCGTCCACGACTGGACCTAACGGTCAGGGGTCCCTTTACCTTTACCTGTTATATTCCTCTTACAACATTGTGTCCTTTCTTGATTTTCAAAAACTTCTTTGGGGTGACTTAAGAAGTGGAGGAAACAGAGTTCAATCTTCTAATGCCAACACTCGGCCTTGGCTAAGCTACTTTATTCCCCAATGAATATTTTTGTGCAACCATCTTCTTGACACGTTCTTCACCTGTTCTTAGTTACATTTTTTGAAATCCCAGCTCTTGGCTCTGATCTTTCACCACCATCTATTCCTTTAAGTGAGTTTTTTAAAAATAAATAAATAAATAAAACACAACATGGAAGCAGAATGGACCATTTATGCATAATCTCACAGTTCATATCTGTGTTGGTCCCTTACCTTTCCCGCCCCGACCTGGCCACAGTGATCCATGCGACGGTCATCTCCAGGCTTGACTACTGTAATTCGCTCTACGCGGGGCTGCCCTTGAAGCTGACCCAGAAACTCCAGCAGGTACAGAATGCTGCAGCGAGAGTCCTCATGGGGTCCCTGCCATGGGAGCATATTCACCCAGTGCTTTTCAAGCTGCACTGGCTGCCGATGGAGTACAGGGTCAGATTTAAGGTGCTGCTTTTGACCTTTAAAGCCCTTCACGGCCTAGGACCCTCGTACCTACGGGACCGCCTCTCCTGGTATGTCCCACGGAGAGCCTCAAGGTCCATAAATCCTAGCGGTCCCGGGCCCTAAGGAAGTTAGATTGGCTTCAACCAGAGCCAGGGCCTTTTCAACTCTGGCTCCGGCCTGGTGGAACGCTCTGCCTCATGAGACCAGGGCCCTGCAGGATCTGATTTCTTTCCGCAGGGCCTGTAAGACAGAGTTGTTCCGCCTGGCCTTTGGCTTGGAGCCAGTTTGATTAGCTCCCTCTTTTTCTTTTCCTCCTTCTGCGATGAGGCTACATTTTAATATTTTAATGTTTCAGTATTTTAATGTTGTATTTTTTAATTTTGTTTTTAAGTTGTAATCATTTAACTTGTTTTTATTATTGCTTGTAAGCCGCTCTGAGCCCAGCCTTGGCTGGGGAGGGCGGGGTATAAATAAAAAATTATTATTATTATTATTATAGAGCAATAACTCATTCAGGCACCTTAATGTGGAAAGTACAGTAGCAAACGTAATCACCAGAGTTTAAACTTTGTAAATGCAAAGGAGGTATATCAAATTCCACAAAGTGATCCCATATTTTTACAGAGTGCTGACAAAATCTACAAGAGGCAGCAGGTCATCTGAAGGTTGCTCACACTCTCGGCAGCATTACAGTCACTTTCATTATACAAGCTGGAACCTTTAGCAACGTGGAATTTTTAGACTAAGCACTGGAATCCGCAAGCTCCCATAAATTCAGATTAATGTGCAAAAATTCTGTGAAGAAAATGACTTCCCAAATTTTACTACTGTTGAAAAATAAAATTCTTACCAAAAGAATTATTAACCAGGAAATGCTTTTAAATTAATTGTGTGCATCTTTCAAGTACATGCATTTTTGTCCTGCAGCATATCAAGTACTATCAACTTATTCTGGAAATATTGCTGTATGCTGAAGGACGGACACTGAAAAAGCACTCTTAATTTGGTTTTAAAGAATATAATTATATTTGTCTTCTAAAGCCATCTTATTGATAAATAAAAACCCAGAAGCTGGACAACTTAATTTTGATGCTCCAGTAGGCTGCCATTCAGCTAGGAATCCTCCTGTCTTTAAATAAAGGACAAATGCACATCTAGCTCGAAAGAAAGCTATGCTTTCAATTAATAATCTTGAAAACATCTTTCTTTACATGCTGTCAGAAAGAAGAAATTTCAAACCCTGTGTTGTATGCTCACTTAATTAATTTCTAACATCTAGTACTGATCTACTGTGGTGGATGGAAATATGGAGGCCTATAGTACCAGAATCATGGGGAAAGATTTTTATTTTTTTTTTAAATCATATTTATTAAAATTTCCAAAAATATAAAAATACAAAGAAAAAAGACAAAAGAAGAAAGATATTTAAAAACCTTACTTTCTTTCCCTACTTTCTGGGACTCCCCCTCCCCCCAATTGTATTCCCCTTTCCTTAATTTGGTTCTACAAGCTCTCACTCCCAATTTAAAACTTAATTTGTTTAACCCACTATCCAGATTGAATTATACAACTCTTACCACCGTCCCACGTCATTAACAGAAAAAGAAAAAAGATTTTCCCCAAGATCCACCCCAGTTCCTTCCACAAATTCCCTTTTTTTTAAACACGTCCGATCAAAGTAAAATAACATACGTAAGTTATGTAAAGAAATAGAAAATAAAAGATATAGAAAAATTCAAAAAATGGTTACACAGCCTTTGGATTTCGAGTCTCCCCCCTTCCCGGTTTGAATTCCCCATGTCCATCAGTCTATACATTATCAGCTTGGGAGTCTCATTTCATGACCAGATTTCTCCCGATTCCATCTTGCCGGTTTTCTTTTAGTTTATTAATTTAAATAATATTTGACTTCAAATGTCCAATCTAACAAAGGCCTTTAATTTCCTTGATCTTTACCACTCCTCCCGTTGTTCTTTCCGTGTCGTAATCAGTCCTTTATTCTTCTTATTCCTCACTTTCTCAGGTTTCTTGTCCTGTTCAGCTGCTAAAACTTTCTAATTCAGAAATCTAGTGTCTCTGCAGAGGTTTGTTATTCAGGAACAAAAACTTACGTCCAGTCCCTTTCTTTCTTCAATAAAAAATTCCATTGTCTTCCTCTGTAGACAAAATATTCTTTCAGTTTTGCAGCTTTCCCAGAAGATAACAAATCCTGTGCGAATCCCAGGGTATTTTTCCACTTACGACCGTTCTTGTAGTATCCCGAAACCCCTCTAGGGGATTGTAATAACTTTGTATCCTCTAATCCAAAAGTCAAATTGTTACTTATTTTCCAACAGTTTATATCCATATTATAGCAAATTGTAACAAAATTTACCAGCAAGGTCCTCGTAAAGTCCTCTTTATATTCTCCAGCTTTGACAGCCACTTTGACAGCTGTCAAAGTCTCCGTCTCTCTTCACCAGGCTCCACGAATCGCCCCGGTTCCCAGGGGGGGGGTTGCATTTTCTTCTCACCCTCCACTCTTCTCCTCCAGCACATTTCTTATAATTTCCCATCGTGAAATTAATGATTTTTATCAGAGACATACTTCCCTTTGGACCTTGGTTACCCAGTCCTTGTTTTGGAATGTTTACAAGAGGGGGATTGACTTCCTTTTTAAATCGCCCCCGCTCGTGCCAAATCCAAAATTTTAAACCCGGTTTCCCAATTACTCACGGGTTGTTGTTAATAGTCCAAATTTTCAATAGAAGAAGTCAGCGCTCTCCGCCGAATGGCATGCGGCTGCGCTCGGCAGGAAAGCAGTGGACTCAAAGCACCACGCCACTCCCGGCACCCGATCCGAAGCCTTTAAAAGGCTCCTTCACGAGTCGGGAGGGCGCTAATGGTGCAAGCCGAGTCACCCATGTCCACGGACTCCGTGCCCGTGGTTTTTAAGGGTCCCCGCGTCGCCGGCGCGGTAGGACCCAGCCCCTGCCGAGCAGACTCCCTCCGGAGCTCGGAGGGAGTCCGCCATTCGGCGATGGCGCTAACCCGGAAGACCATGGGGAAAGATTTTTACTCTGTATATCTTACCATCCACAAGGAATTGAAGAGCAGTATCTGTCCCAAACCTGATTTGGAAACCTGGTTGAATTGGGTAGCCTATGTTCATTACCCTAAATGTATTCTTCTCATCACTGTGCCAAGGAGGTTATGGAAGTACTGAACAATTGTTTGACCACAGTGATTTATTGGATGTGGACTAATAAATAGAAGCCTGGCCCTGACAAGATGGAGGTTCTTTTGGCTGGTCAGTAAAGACACTAATAAGGGACTGGGGGCACAGTTTGTTCTGGATGGAGTTACATTCCTTTTAAAGGACCAGGTTTGTAGTTGGGGGAGGGGCATTCTGGATCTGGCATTACTCCTGGAGGGCCA